GTGGACACTCGGTGTTTCCAAACTGTCTAGTTAGGAAAAGGGTGACAAGCGTGCACACACACACCCCCGAACAAAGGACGTCTATCTAGCCACATCTATCCCTTAACGCTCACGCTTACAGCTTAGCAAAACTCGGCGTCTCCATCTCTCTACCACCCGCGTAAGTTTCCCACAAGCGAGCGACTGGGCTCATAATTAAACGAGCAGGAATGCTAATTAATAATAAATCACTGTAGACGTGCCAGATAAACTCCCCTCTTCCCTCCCTCCGGGGCAGGCTTTGCAAGCGCCTGTAAAGGCCAATCAAGGCAGCCGATGGGCAAGTACCCTACATATGCACGAGAGATAATTAGGGAGGGGGTATGATGAGGACGGAAGGCGAAGAAAGATTTAGAAGCTCAGCTCGCTTCAGCGAAAGGTATCGCTGGAAGCCGCTCGCTCGCTTTCTCTCCCCTGCCCCCACTAATCAATATCGGCCAACGATTAATTGCTACAGGCCAGAATCCATCAAACGCAGGTGAATGAAGCAATTGTCAGAAATAGGCGGGATTCCCCCCCACCCCACCCCGTCCGCATTTCCTTAAATACATTTGTAAACATTCCAGGGTCGCCTCGTTCTGCAGGTACTGGGACTGATATAAACAAAAGATCGCCTTGGATTTAGAAGGCAACGCGCTGAGTTTGACAGCGGCGACCCTCTTAGGAAGACAAGGCGGTGGAAGAATTGTAGCTATATCGGCGTGCATTCTTGCCGCCTCCCTCCCCCGTTTATTTTATTTATTTATTTGCTTTTTCCGAGCAGGCGAGAGAGAGGCCAAATAGCGGTCGAGTGAACGGCGTCTCCCAGCGTTGGACCTTTCCGCATCATCACGCTAGGAAGACAGCCGGTCGCCGAGTCCACGTAGCCTCGCTAAGTCACTCTTTCTCAAAACAGATCACTGTCAGAAACTGGTACGGCGGTATTTTTCGCTAGACACACAGAGCAGCCGCTAATGATCGAAAAACGTCTTGCCGGGCTAGAACAATAGAAAGAGAGACGACTTCCCGCCGCTGCCACTAGAGGGCGCTCGCAAACAACTCGGCACACATCAAAAGAACAATATACAGTGCCCACAATAACAAAAGTGATTGTTCTCTCACTCTTCTCCCCCGCCGCTTCCAATATATTCAATCTGTTCTGCAGAAAATAGCGCTCGTTTCTTCCTCCCTCCCCCCCTTCCCTAAAAGCCCTTCCTCTGGAGCATTTATTTGGCGGCTTAAACGCTCAACGCCTCATTCTTCACAGCCCAACCGCGAATTTTAATTGATTCGCCCCCCCCCCGCCCCCGTGACTTTGAAACGATACACACAAATACCTGGGACAAAGAGGAAAGGGAGTCGTTGGGGGAAATATACATTCCCACACCTATCCGCATAACCTCAGACGTCCCGGCTAATCTTGCAAACACGGTACTCATGTTTAGCCAAGGTAAAGCTGGACTTCAGCGTGACACTGCATCTGTGTCTAAGTGTGCACACGTAAACACGCGCTGCTGGATGGATCGCGAAGGCTGGGAGAAAAGTGCGCTCCTTTTAAAGCACGCGCAGACGTGCCTTCCCTCTGCCCTGCGAGGAGAGGAAAGGAAAGAAACCACCCGCCCCCCTTCAAAAAGTTTGCGGAGGGGGAATTGGGACAATGCACACACACGCACACCTTTCACGCAGCGCAACCCTCGCTCCTCCGGAGATGTCTGCCTTCGGACCGAGGCGGCTCGAAGGTTTAACCCCCAGGGATACAGCGGGAGAGAAGGTGTCCCCCTCCGGAACAACAAGCACCAGCCGCTAAGCCAAGATCGGGGACAGGTTAAAGGAAGGCACGTGAAGCGGGGCAGCCACCAAGGCGTTGTCTTGTTAGCATCCCCAGCGGAACCCGCGAGACAAGGGTCACGGGATACGCAGCCAAGTTCAAACGCTCGCTTGGGCGCTCTCCTAAGGAGGACCCAAGTCGCCCGTCCGCACGTGCAGGGCGCCCTCCTCGCCAGCCCGCAGCACGTGAACACGAGCCCCCCTCCCCTCGAGCGTCGCCTCTGGAAGTTGGGGGCCGCGGGCGACCTCCTTTCCCCCCCAAGGCGAGCCACTTACCCGCAAGTCTTAAGGCTGACATCCTCTGGAACTCGGGTTCCTGCAGCCATTTCCACATTCTTCGGAAGGTCTCCCTGCCCGATTTCAGTTTACTCCAAGGCTTAGGGTTCCTTAGAAGGTCTGAGAGGGTCCCCTGAGAACGGCACAGCACCCGCTGGGCGAAGATGGCCTGCGGGATGCTGTAGCGCTTCAGCTCGGCGGTGATTCTCTGCGCCACTTCTTTGGTGTTGATCTCCTCCAGCTGGCCCGGGTTGCTGACCTGGCCGC